CCTTTCTTAATTCCTCTGCCTGTAACTGATGATGATGATGATGATGATGATGATGATGATGATGATGATGATTTTGCAGTTTTGATTAATTTGGGTAGGATTTTATACTCTTCACTTGTCTTCTATAACATCAATCAAATAAAGTTACAAACCAGCAGTCATTGATTGGATAAGATTTAAGGCAAAATTTTCCAGTTCAGTCACAAAAAGGAATTGTTTCTGCTGATCCTTGCTTACCTTATCTATGGGCTCAAGGAGGTTCTCAACAACCTGTAGCTCTGAATGGACTGAAAATAATCTAACCTCCAGATTTTATTACACTTGTGTGTGTTTCTCATGGGAAAGAACCTTATAATATTTTTATGGTATTTTTATTTTCTCAAACATTAAAAAAGCATGTTACTAGGACTGAAATAATGTGCTAATATGTACTTAGAAAGGAAAGAGATGAAAAAAAGGAAAGGAAAGAAAGGAAAGGAAAGGAAAGGAAAGGAAAGGAAAGGAAAGGAAAGGAAAGGGATGAAAGTAATTTAAATTTGATAACATTCCACCCTCTGTCCAAGTTCTAAATTATTAGTTTTATTAAATTCATAGGCCTATTGTAGTGCTGCTTCTTTATACTGCTTAAGTTTTGATAATTTTGGAAATTTGTACCCTTATATTGAAGCCTAGGAAATTATGCATGGAGAACTGTATTTTAATTGATTTTGTGCGCATATGATAACCTGTGGTCAAATGAATAAATTTGCTTACTTACTATTTACTTTATATAGCTAATTTCACTAAAGGGTGCCAAGCCATTAATGAATTTATTTAGACCTTTGTCTGAGAATCATGTATCTTGATTCTACCTATTGTATGCCCCACCCATTCATATAGCAGTTTTATAAGGTTTAGCGAAATTCCTTGACCTCAAAATTTTGCCCGTAGTCTAGTATGGAGAAATGCAGTTTCAAATGAGCTGTTTGTGGATTTCAGAATGTAGATTATAGCATGCTTAACACTAACATGTTTAGAATATCAGTTGTTCTTCATTTTATGCCCCATTGCCAGATGGTTGACAATTCTTGTGTGTATACAGAAGTGCCTTATTGCTATAATGATTTATCTTGTAATAGAGAATCAGTTCCTTGCCCTCAAGACATTATGATTTTAACTAGAATTTGCCCGTGACCATAACTTATTATTCTCTTCACTTTTATTAAAATTATTTCTGATTTTGCCATTTCTCTTTTAAATTTCGCTGATTGGTAGCTTTGCAGTGATTGCATATATTTTTTAGCTCTATATCCATTTTAAACAAATGTTTTAAAAACTTTGAGAACCTTAATAGTTCATATGGATAGAAAGATAGATAGTGAACTAATTAACTAATTAAAATATAAATAAATGAGTCAATTCCTGTACTCTAAGGCTGGTTAACCTTTTAGAGATCATTTGAGCAAATGGTCATACTTCACCTGGGAATACCCACAAGGGACCTTGTTCAGGTTATTACATTGAGTAATGTGTACTAAAAATAATAATCTTTTCTGTTATAACATTTTTATGTTACCAATAATGCTTTCTTAAAATGTGTGTCATCTGCAGATTAATTGGGACATTTTAGGACCGAATTCAGAGGTAATTTTACCTCCTCGGAATAGTGACATTGGTGACCCAGTAAATGGATCATTTTATTTTGCGGAAACAGAAGGCGGTTTGCGATATATCATCTTGGAAATTTATCCTCATGAAGAAGTTGAAGTTCAAGAGACCTACATTATTAGGTTGTGTGTTGTAAGGGGAGAAACAGAACTAGATCCCAAGGCTGCCAATGTAACAGTAAAAGTAAATGATTTTATTATTAGTGATAGTAGTGCTCTTTTGAGGCTTTACTGTTTGATCTTTTATTTCTTTATTATTCTTTATAGCATCTCTCTGTTCTATTAATGCTACAACTTATAACCAAGAATAAGAGGTTAAGTTTTTTACATTTTTTGTAATTATCAGAAAATAGTTTTGAAAATTCTAGAGTTTTTTTTTAACTCAGGTGTCACAAAAGTCTAAAGCTCTTTAAACATGTAATAATGAGCAATGTGATACACCATTTTAAAATAAAAACATATACTACTTGAATGTTCTGTGTAGTGTACCACTAATAAGCAAACCCAAGTATAACCATTACTTTTTTTTTTTTAATCTAGATTTTAAAGTTTGGTGATCCCAATGGGATTGTGCAGTTTGTTCCTGAATCCTTATCTCCAAAGCATTTTGAGGAACCATCAACATCTGAAGGTCCATTAAGTATTGTACTTTCCATAAAGCGAATTCAAGGCATTATGGGGAACATCACGGTAGTTTTACTTTGGTACTTAGTTGTTTGTCCAATATAATTTCATTATGAATGCAGAATTAAATCAATGGCAGATAGATTAGATAAGACAAGACAAGACCCAGTGTGGTGTAATGATTAAAATAATGGACTAGGAGAAGGGGCCAGTTACTCTCAGTCCTAGACTTGGAATCTACCAACCCAGCTTGACCGATGAGATATATTGAAGTAAATTAATTTGGGCTGATTTTATATGATAGATAGACAGACAGACAGACAGATACTCTATATCAATAGAGGTGATATAGGTGATACTCTATATATAGAGAGGGTGTGTATCTGTCAATCTACACACATACATATAAGCACATTATATAGAGAGTGTATATGGTATACCATCTGTGCTATATTTCTGAACTTCCTGAATATTTTGTTTTTAAAGATATTTTTTAGTAGAATAATTTCAAAGGGATGTTTGAATGAACAACAAAATTTAAGAGCCTAATAATGAAAGGAAGAGGAACTGAAAGTATCCTTGTTTGTTTGTTCTGAGAAAATATATTGTCTTCAAAATATGAAGTCTGTAACATCTAAATTATCCAAGATTTCATTTCATTGGGAGTTAACTATATTGATCAAAGCTTTTTTGTTTCTTTCTTTTAATTTAATTGTTATAGATTTACTGGAAATTAAGTAGTGATTCCGATACTACCAATGATTTCATAACTACGAGCGGTTCTGTTCTAATTCCTGATCTACAAAGGACATCAGACATTGTGATTTCCTTGTTGCCTGATGATGTTCCTGAAGTAGATGAGCTTTATGAGGTGCAGCTTACTTCAGTGGAAGGAGGAGCTGATTTGGATCTGGAGAAAAGCATTTCTAGATTCACTGTGGTTGCAAATGATGATCCATATGGTGTATTTGCCTTGTATGGTGAAAAACAGTCAGTACTGGTGAAGAAAGATCTCAGCCGGCACATCCAGATTAATATTTCTCGGCATGCAGGGACTTTTGCAGATGTAATTGTAGAGTACCAAATTTCATCTTTCGATGAAGAAAAAGTAGTCACACCAGCCAACACAGTGGGACAGCTATACATTAAAGCAGGTTCCAGTTTTGGATTGAAAACAGTGCCAATATGCACCCAGGTCTGTTGTTTCCTCCCCCCTGAAAGCCCTTTTAAATCATGATTGTAGTGTTTGGTAGTCAATTGATTAAAGCAATATTTTCTGAGCTGTATTTCTTTTAGGTCTTTGTTTCAGTTTAGAAAAGTAGAAGATTCCTATTTTAAGATACATGAAGGAAAATGTAGAGTAATGAGTGAATGTTCCTGCATCTGCCGGATTCTCCCTTTCATAGAAAAACATTTACCAACAATCCTTTGGACTACAGTTCTTGGGAAGCTTCTTTCTGATGGTGAAATATGTATCTCAGAAATAATACTGACAACCCCTGATAGTCATTCCTATCAAAAACCTGGCTAGGTTGCATTCCCTTAGCATGTTCAGGTAATAAAGCTTAAACAGGACCACAACAGGTGAGGCTCTGCATATTTGAATGCTCACAATGATAACAAAAGTAAGAGCTATGCCTATATACTTCAAAATAATGAGTTACAATGATATGGTGTGATAGGATATGATATAATACATACATATTCTAAATAAATAATATTGACAAAGTTCAAAATTACTAGCTTTAATTTGCTAGTATTTTCCATTATTTCTAATTTTAATGTTGCTTTCTATTATCTTTTGGGGGAGAGCTTGTAAAACTACATGTTTAAAGGAGCCCTACTTGAATAAAACCTTTTGAGGTCTTATTTGAATGCTTTATCTATGGATGTTATTTTTTATGACTATTTTTTTTATGATAATTTTCCAGGTATTTATTTCCTTTGGCATGAATTTGACGCTGGAACTGATCAATGTAACGTTAGTTAATATTAGTGCCAATATTGTGCCTAAAATATTAGAGACAGCCAGGTTGGTCTCTTTTCCAGTTCCCAGAGAAGCTGCCAATTCTCAGGTAACTAGATTTATAGTGTTCTAACAAATTAACAACCAGTGGACACACATTTTATTTTATTGGACTTAACTGACTGCCAGATGTTAAAAGATCTGAATAAATTATTTATATCAGTTTAAAACCTGGATAATTATTTTTGTTTATTATGGTTTTTATTGTTTGCTACATATTTGGAGGCAAGCACATACCTGTATGTTTTTTACATCACCATTTTTTTTCCTCTCCTTATGATTTTATTTGTGGGCCAGGGGGGTACAAAATAGAAATCTGGTTATTCCTGGCTTGCAAATTATATCAGCCTTCAGAATATTTTAACTAGGTGTTATTGAAAAAGCACTTATTATATTTCATTTCTCATTGTCATATGTTTTAGAATTGGTACATACTTGCTGGTGAATTTAAAACAAATACATTAAGTACATCTTACATTTCAAAATGTAGATTTATTGCACAAACAGAAAATGTTCCTGCAACCAATAGCAGCAGTATTCCGTATGCAATTATTCAGTGCATTTGCCTATAATTTTAGTTTAGTTCAGCTGTTGCCATGATTTCTAGCGAAAATAATATTTTCTTTATTTTGTAGGTTGCCTTTGATTCTGTTATCTTACGACTTATAAATATTACAGCAGGAACAACGGAAGCTCTTATAATTCGTAAAGGAATATATGGCTCCATTACAGTAATTTGGAGTTCTGGATATCCACCAGGTCTTATTCCAATGTTCCTTCACCAAGGCAATATTATACCACCTTCTGGTGAGTGCCATTATTTTGCTATTCCTGAGGACAGTAGGACGATTCAAAAACTTTGATAGCAAAGAGAGAGAAAGAAAAAACAAGAGAGAGAAAGGAGGTTATGCTCAACATCTCACCATCATCTTGTTTTGTATCTTTCACTTGTTTTGTTTTGATAAAAAATGTAAAAATCTTGATTATTCCCCATCTGAATTCAGTTTACCATTGCCTTTTTTAACACTTTTTTTCTTAGGAAATTAGATTGTTAATTGTTGTTATAATCAGAGCATGCTTCACTGTAGCCTATCATAACTTGATGTTATATAAACATTTTGATTTCTGAGATGTACACAACCTTTATGTTTTATCCTTTCCTTTTAATCTGCTACTTAACAATGAGCAAACTTGCATTATGAATCAGTGTTAAAGGGTGTGTTCTATCATTTCTTTCTGGTACCTGTAGTATATTTGCTAATTGGCTTGTGCACAAATGACATTTTAAAGAAAGGAAAAAAAATGATATCTGCACTGTGTCATAGTAAAATGGCTTATAAGAAGTTATTGAATGCCTTCTCAGACTATTATGTATCTGGACTATAACTGCATATTTCTAAGTTGCAGAGGTATTGAGCAATTCTGCAGATTTTTTGGGGGGGGGGTCAGTCTTGCTATCTGATATTCTGACCAGAGCTATCATTCTTCTACAACCAATTGGGATGCAGAGACTCCTTTTATTCCTTAGAATACTTAATCTTTATGGCTTCATTGTTAATGCTTTTGAACTCTTCTCATAGTATATTCAGCATTGTGGGTTCCATTGTATTCCTAACAAATCTGTATTCATTCACCATCATCATCATAATTTATTAAACTTGTATGCCACCTGACTCTCAATGGCTCATGATTTAGTATCATTGCTCTTCAACATTCTAGTAGCTTTTCAGCAATCTCCTTTCCTTTTTTCCTTCCAGGCACAGTTACTTTTTCCCATGGTGAACAAAACAAAACAATTTTATTGCAAGTCATTCCAAATGCAAGCAGTCCTGAGGTGTTTGCTGTACATCTGGCAGCTGTGCAGAGTAACGCATCTGGTGGGGCTCGTCTGAGGTAAGAAAGCTATCACTCAAGTTGAATGCAGGTAGTCCTCACTTAATGATCACAATAGGGACCGGAAAATTGATTGTTAAACAGGGCAGTTGTTAAACAAGTTACCACATGACTGGACCTGATTTAGAACCATTTTTACGACAGTCATTAAGTGAATCCAGCTTCTCCAATGGATGTTTTTTGCCAGAATTCACTTAACGACCATATGATTCGCTTAACAACCACAGTGATTTGCTTAACGACTGCAGTGATTCACTTAACAGTTGTCATAAAAAAGGTCGCAAATCACGATCACATGACCTTGGGGATGGTGCAACAGTTTGCGTTGGTCATAAGTGCAAGTACAGGTTGTAAAGCACTTTTTCCAAGGCCATCATAATTTCGAACTGTCATTAAATGAATGGTCGTTAAGCATGGACTACCTGTATTTGGTTCACCAGCCAAATACAATAACAAGGAAGCCCCCCAGCCCATTAATAAATTGACATTCATCACTTCTTTCTTCTGTCTCAGTTATAATATATATGAAAATATTAATAATTATAGAATCAAAATATGGAATGACTAAACCTCTTCATAAAGTTCTAAAGCTGTTTCTTCAGTTTGAGAGAAGTCTCAGATGAATCCAAGATACTAATGTTTTTAAGTGGATCTGTCTGTTGAAGATGAGCTAAAAATGTTAAGATGCTGCCTTTATCTTTCCACATCCAAATGTCATATATTTGTTTTTGTTTCAGATCAGATTTCCTTATTGCTGAGATTGAGCCAATGGGAGTCTTTCAGTTTGCTCCTAGCTCAAGGAACATTTTAGTGAGGGAAGATGTACAAACAGTCAGATTATATGTACAGAGACTGTTTGGTTACCAAAGCAACCTCACAAAGGTGTTCTATCAGACCACTGCAGGAAGTGCCAAATCACTAGAAGACTTTGAACCTGCTCATGATGGAGAACTTGTTTTTGGATTCCTTGAGATTAACACTATATTGGAAATCTTGATAATTGATGACAGCATTTCAGAAGAGGATGAAATATTTTTTGTGAATTTAACATCTGTGAATGTTTTAGATATCCAGAAATTTAATCCAACCTGGAATCCACGTCTGAATCCAGAATTTAGCATTGCATCTGTTACCGTACTGGCCAGTGATATCCACTATGGAATTTTAAGTCTTGAACCAACTATGATTTACACTGAAGAAGACAGCAGAAACATTACTTCCAGCACTGTTCTGATTCATATCAGAAGGACTCAGGGGTTTGTGGGAAATATCTCAGTAAATATAAAAACATTTGGGGGAATAAATGCTCAAAGTGGGGCAGATACATTCCCTTTTGAAATTGTCCCTGTGGTTTCTAATCTTACCTGGGCAGTCGAAGGGACAGACTTTGAAGAGATGGCTCTGTCTGTCACATTATTGGATGGGGAAAGAGAAAGCAAAGTATCTGTCAGAATTCTTGATGATGATGAACCTGAAGGGGAAGAATTTTTTTATGTTGTCCTCTCTGAACCTCAAGGTGGAGCTCAGATTACAAAAAGCATGGATGAATATGGGCTTAAAGGTTTTACCACAATAATTATCAAAGGTAGACATATTTATGTTGTTTTAGTATATAAGCAAAATGATAAGAGGAAAGAGAGTTATTATTTGCACAGCAGTACTGTTATTTATTTATTTATTTATTTATTTATTTATTTATGTATGTATGTATGTATGTATTTAACTTGTCCCCGCCCATCTCCCCATAGTAGGGGACTCTGAGAAAAGCCTAAGCCAAAAAACAACCAAGTGTGCATTCCAGAGTTTGTAATATAAATTTTACAACAGAGAATCACATACAATCTCTCTGTTAACTGGACTATCACTTTCCAAGTAATCATGACTAAAAATGAAGAGAACTCCTTCTTGTCCTTGACAGTGGGCATTAAAATGGAAACAGTAGTATCTGCATGTTTTCTTGTTGGATGTAGTCATAATAATTGAGGGGAAAGGGTTATGATGAATTCATATAAAGGATCTGTTAAGAAGAGCAAACTTATCTGCCCAATTTCATATACTGGATAATATAAAAGAGGCTTTTCAAACCAGAAAGTAAGAGCAAACAAAGACACATTCAGTAAGGAACATGGATCTGAAGTTGATAACTAAGCATTTGCTTTGGGTCCTAAATTCAGTTCAAATGGTAAAAGCATATGTATATGCTGTTGCATATTAGAGACGTTGTATTCTATTATATCTTGAGAACCACTGCAGTGACGCTGTAAGCATGAGATTTATATTCTCTTACATTATCAGCATGACTAAGAGAGGAAAGGCTGTTCTGCTCATCTCTCTTCCTATGAAGGACTCAATTCATAAAGGTTATGCCTGAATAGAGATTGTTTTTTCTTTTAGAAAACAAGCAAGATTCAACAATCTGGTTCTCTCTTCCTGCCTCCCTAGCTAATGTTTAGCTACATTTGATCAAACATATTGTTGGACTAATAGGAATGGAATGATCTTTCTAGATACCAGATACTTTTGTTTATTAGAATGATGTAATATCCAGGAATTAGCATCTGAATTCTTCCTAAAAGTAACAAAAGGAAGCTTACATAAATATGCTCTGCTTAAGATCAACAAGAACGTAGCTTTTCTATCAGAAATTATGTCTGTTTTAAGGTAAGAAATTAGGCAGAGACTCAGATCAATCTTTATGAATCAGTTACTGTCAGCAGCATCTGCAAGCTCTTACATTTGTTAGAATGATGAAAGAAGCATCAGAGTAAAAGGTCCACTTCTTTGGGGCATATGTATGATTCGCAACATAGGTGGAAAAGTGGCAGGACTTGCATTGTTGTGTCTCAATGCTGCTTGCACCATTCTGACCACCCTACCCAGAAAAAGATGCTACTGGTTCCCATTTTTGTTAAGGTCATAACAGCCTAAACCAATTATTTGTGAGCCTTACAGCTTTTGCTAAAACAGCTAAGTAGACAATGGCAAAGCATTTCAAATTGTTCCTAGCAAAATAACACAAGCATGTCTAAGTAAGTAAGAAGTCAAGCACAATGTAAGGAAGACATTACCTTTCTTACTGATGTACTTCCAAAAATACAGGAAAAGAGCCCTTTTATTTTCCCTAGTGCCTTATCATATTAATATTCTTTAATTCTATGGCATGAAGACACCCAATTGCTTTAAAATAAGTGATGGTTCAATAAGCCAATGCCATTATATCTGTTTTGTGACTATCATATCAAACATATTTTGTCCTATTGTATCTTAAAACCCATTGAAGTATTCTTAATATTTTAATTCCAGTAGCATTAAATCACCTATTATTTTATATAAAATCCAGTTTCTCCATTTATACTATAATGGCTCCTCATTCCACTTCATATAATTATCTCAGTTTGGGGAAGAATTTTTAAGGAATGCTACAATAGAATGTTAGCTGGCAAACATAAAAATTTGCTTGCTTCCTGATATTTTTGGATGATCTATTTCCCATTTAGGAAATGATCTTCAGAATGGAATTCTGGGATTCAGTGAAGAAGCACAACATGGCCTTGTGCTTGATGAAGATTCAGAAAAGAGGAAAATAGAACTCATTGTCACGCGACAGCCAAACAGGTGCAGGCAGCAGCTGATAAAAAGTGTTACCTTCACATACTGTAATGCATTGTGTCAAATCAAGGATATAATTGTAAGCAGAATAAGTTATGATGGAATCTTAGTATAAATCCTAGGCTTTTAGAAGTTCAGTAGTTTACTGCACACTGGGAACGTTGTCTCATAAATTTAGAATGTGATATAAGTCAGTCAGTCTACCAGAACTGAACAAAAATGAGAGAATTAAATTTTCAGTCACCCTAATTCATATACATAATAGCTGAGATGTGAAATTAATTTCTTTGCTATGTGCACATACCTACTATTTGCTGCTTCCTCTAGTCAAGGTAAAGTGATTGTTTGGCTAGAACTGTAGGTTCAGATGTCACTTGACCCATCTCAGGAATAACTTCCTTTTCATATGTCTTTTAAGTACTGATCATCTAATCCATTATATTGATGAAATCAAAGGCAATCCACTACTATATCAGGTCACTCGTATTATTATGAAAAGTTTGATTTGAACAGCCTTTTCTAAACAAGATTTGTGGTTTAGATCCTTATCTTTTAAAATAATGGACCATCACTTTTAAAGATGATGTTTCTGTCTATCCTGTATGCATGTGAGTGTGTTTGGGTATAAACATACACACACAATTTATATATAAAGGCAACATACATACATACATACATACATACTTACATACATAATATATATAAAGCTGTATATTCATTCTCTCTGTGTGTTGGTGTAGATACACACACAAACACAAATATTATACAGGTACTCCTCAACCTATGACAATTCATATATTTTATATATGAATATATTTAAATATGAATATATTTATATATTTCATATAGTTTAGTGACTATTTGTGTGATGGAAGGCATGAGTGGGGAAGGTTTTGGAATGGAGCCTCAAGGTTGCCAGGAGTGGGGAGAAACATTCCAGAGAAAGCACCTCCTCAGTCCCCAGCCGAAGTGTGGGAAAGCCAAGAGAATGAGACTGGCCCTTCCCTAGGGCCTCATGGTTATAGTTATTTTTGTTGTGCTGTAGATTGAGTCTGGCGAGATTCTGTCTATTAGGTGTAAGCTAATAAAGGAGCTAAGCTGTTCTTGGGCTGAACCTGACAGTTCGAAGGCGCTGAATAATAGTGGTTACAACTGGTCCTCGGAGTTCTGACTGTCCCAGCACCCCTGCAGGCATGTGAACGTGATCTGGGTTCTTGGCAACCAGTTTGTCCTACAATCATGTGATTGCCATTTGCAGCCTTCTCTGCTGGCTTCCCCAGAAAGTCAGTGGAGAAGCTGGCAGGGAAGGTTGCAAGTCGCTGGGTAAGTGTCCCCCACCTGTGCACCCTCCCCCAGCCCCTCTGCACCATACTGGCCATTTACACACCCCAGCACACCATTCCTGACCTGCTCTATGCCTCTCATGCACCCTTCCTGATCCATGCCTCCTGCACACACTCATGCACCCTTCCTGATCTGCACTGGACCTCTGTCACACCTCCATCACCCTCCCTGATCTGTTCCTTTTGTGTACCCTTCCTGACTAGCACATGCCTCTCGCACATCACCTTGCACCCTTGCGCACCTGGCCTGCGCCATGCCTCTCATCCACCCTTTGTATCATCACCAACTTATCTATCCAAATTTACTTTGGTTTGTTTAACATAGTTTTTTATCTTAATAAGCAAGGTTGAAGAGAACCATTATAATGGATTTTGTTGGAAAAAAAGTGATTTTCTTGGGACAGAAATATACAAAATAATAGAACTAACCAGTAACCAAGTAGTCTGTTTAACACATGTATACATAAATGCAAATCAGTAATACTTCTTAATCCAGAGATAGGTACACATTTCCTGCTTACAAACTTACTGTCTGCTAGCCTATCTATCTATCTATCTATCTATCTATCTATCTATCT